CATTGCTGCTTTTCCCCCTTATTCTTCCACCACTCACCAGTAGACCAGTGTGGTCGCCAGCAAGCTTACATGCCTGCTCATATGTCCCTTTGAGTTTCAGTCTTAGAGGGGGTTTGTCCTGAAGGGACTTGATTGCTTGCCTTGGCTTCCTGGCGAACAACTTGCTTATTCTTGTAGTAGCCAATCATGCTGCCATTTTGTTTTGGGTTTTTCCTGCTGATCTTTCTTTGAAGATGTATCTTCTGTCGCTCTAGCTGTTCCAGGCTGATCTGCTTGTCTTTTCTAGTGGGAATGTCCCACCTCAGAAGGTTCTGGATGGGGTTCAGGATTCCACCTAAGGTTCTATATACTGCAGAGGCTTCGCAAGAGGCCTATTGCACTGGGCAAGTTCAAGAACCCCTTTTAGGTATTCCAGTCAGTTATTGGCTGAAGATGGGCTTACAAGTTTTCTGTAATCATGTTTCCCAACATTCCTTTCTGTCCTACTCAAGTGTCTATTTTACAATGGTAGGCAAGGAAAACCAGTGTTCATAAGACAGTCAAGCATCCTTAGTATTATTTCCCCTCTTCAGACTATGCCTTGATCCCTGTATCCCAGAGCCCTGCTGTTCCAAGGTTGAGCATGCATCACTATTTACCTCTGTCCCACTTAGACCATGCAAACCTGTCTCAGTGTTCCCCTATGTACCTTATTCTTCCACCTCTCTCCCCCTTCTTGTGTATTGCCCTCCCCAATACCCGAGCTATGATGTGTCTGCCCACTACCCTATGCTCTACTGTCACCTCCCTACACCTCTTCCAAACCGCTCCACCCCACCCCCACTGGTAAACAATATAGAATTTTTTTTTCCTCCCTTTTAGTATGGCTGTCTTTTCCTAAGCTTTTACAATAATGGTCTGATGCAATATTTGTCCTTTTGAGACTCACTAATTTCACTCAGTATAATGTCCTCAAGGTTCATCCATGTTATGTGGTGGCTTACAGCTTCCTTGTTATTCTTCAAGGTATCATAATATTCCATTGTGTGTATGT